TCTGCTGCAATGGAAGATGGGTGTATTAACACCATCGCGAACGATACCGAAGCTGGCTATCGATGCGCATCGAGTATTGTAAAGTTGGATGAAATTAAAAATTCACATTGGACGTGGACAAATTTATCAGCACATTTATATCCCTAACCTTGACTCCTTTAACCATCGACGTTATCGTCCAGTCGTTTAATTCAAGACGAGGACACTTACCAACTGTTTCGTATGAAATTGTCTACACCACAAATAACAAGTTATAGTAAATGAAAAGATCAATTCTAAAATTCTTTGGAAAATATATAAAAAGATTTTTTATCCTACACATAGGACGACAACACTCACGAATTTCTTCCTGTACATAAAATTATTTATACTACAAGCACAATAATAAGTTATAGAAAATAAAACAATTGCGCAATTTCAAAAATTTACTATAATTATATTTAAATCATCACGATCAAGCAATTTCCAAGAACGAGCCCATTACGAACTTGTTAACAAAGGAGTGAAATTCCTTTCGATTGTGATAAATATTTTATAGCGTTACGTCGGTCAGTAAATTTTCTCCAATTTAACCAAACTGCTTTCGTGGAAATCAGTAATAGAACGCGTCAGTCTCTCCTAAATATTCTTTGGCTCGTGTCGAAGTGTATCGACGTTTATTCCACGGTGGATACAAGCAGCCTTCGCCAAGCGATTTCCATAAAACAATTTCCGCAACTGCACTTTCGCGTCCTAGACGAGTAGACGTGGAATTCTCGTGTCGCGTTACGTCACGCGAATACGCGATAAAGCCATGCATCCAAGAGGGAAACTACAAGAAATAACGTTGTTCGACGAAAGCAACGTTAATCGATCGATCCTGCAAATAAAAGATCTTCGAAAGGTCTTCTATTCTATGAATACTTTATTTGATAAAGAATTATATTCCAAGTTTGATAAATTCGAGAAATGATAGTGAATTACGGTCCCTTGGGGATCAACCGGAAATTTATCGCGACGACGTGGCCTTCTTGCGAAAAATTATAGCAAACGTCACTTGGTGGAATTCTATGTGTAAATATAAGTGCTTTATACCGTTTTATTATTTTCAAATTTATTTACGAAATTAACGATTTAAATAAAGAATTTGTCATTTTTATAATTATTAGAACATTCGTTAGTAAGTCGATTTAATGGCTCGCTAATTAAATTGAATGGCCCGTTGAGAGATTTTAGAGCTGAGATCTGGAGATAGAGATGTCGAGGCTAGCAGGATTAATAACGATAACGAGTTAATATTATTATAAGGCGATCCTGGATTTGACTGTTTTCTATGAAAGCTTCGATCGCAATACCCATTCATAGCTTACGTTCGCAGTACGTTTCATCTTTTGGCGTAGTATCTTGGCATAACAATACATATATCTATTTCGATACTATTAGTAATATACTAAATCGTTACATGTGTGTATCTTTTTTTTACATATTAATATGGGAAGAATATATTGCACAGCAAGTAGAATAAATAATCGCTATGGTCAGACACAGTATGTGTAATATACAATGAATCGAATGAACGAAATAATCATAATAAATATATACACTGCAGTATAAATATTTCACATCAAGTGGAATAGTCGTTTTCTGGCCAGACAAGCCGTACCTTATTGTCTATAAAATTTAATTTAAAATTTAATGCTAATATACCCTTATCTTCGATATATTTATTACATTACTTTCGAAATATTCTATTAACAAACAAAAATCTCTCTTTTTCTATAAACTACAGAAACTTCCCTTCTGAAAAATTTGATTACTCGAATCTCATTATTCACTATATTAATCTTACAAGTAAAACCCTTTCCCCTCTAGAAAACCAATATCTATTCGATCTTTCCGAGCGTATCGACAGTGTCTACGACATACAATCGCACAACAGTGTGTCGTCGAGCCGTTAAACAAATTGCTTCGCCATCTGAAGGGAGAAGAGATACATCAGCTCGACCGTTGCAAGGATTCTTGCAAATTCCAGCTCGCGTTTGAAAAGTGGAACTGCAATCTTTCCCTCGATGAATATTCACCTGGCAAAGCAAACAATCGCCTTTCCCTCTCTCTCTTACTTTTTCTTTTTGATCCTGCCGCGTTCTTTCGATCATTTGAAAAAGTTCCGTGCAATGCACGTAACACATTCATAAAAATGTTTTATGACAAACGTTCAAATATTTCCCAAAGCCATTGAAAGCCGATGAATAGGAAAATATTTCGAGAACAAAATTCCACCCTCACCGTCCCTCGATGCCTGTGTCCTCTCATTAATTATGGTTCGACGATTAATCAAGCAGTGGCTCGTCGTTGTTCGCAAGTCGCATCGGCGAGATTTACAATATTTACGTGACTCGTCACGGCGCCGCAGCGCGCATCAATTTCACAGCGGAAAATGGGCCCCGCGTAAATCGGCCGCCGCGTTAATTTCCACACATGCAATCCACGCGGCGGCTGCTCGATAAAACCAGCCCGACGTAGCGAACAAAAAGCGGAAGGAAAACGAATGACGGCGAAACCGAGCCCCCATAGCCCGGCGCACCGTTGTTATCCTCGCATCTGCGAAATCAATGACCGCTTTTTTCCATTTACCTCGCGGTTGCTACTGCTATCGCTTGATATGCCTGGATGAAGTTTGTTTCGAAGCGAATCTTTAGGATAAAATTAAGCCGCGATTGTGATGTAAATTGTAACAGCGAAATATGCCACCTTCTTGCAAAATAGAATTAACGTTTACTAGTGACATTTTGTAAGTCGCGATTTTCGAGTCATTGGTACTAATACATTCTCTTGTATGCAGTATTAACAGATTTGCTAATAAAAGAAATTAAATTTCTTAGATGAACTCGATAAGTTACAGATCATTGTATTTAACGTAAAATTGTACGATTGTAAAGTAGAAGGTCCACGATCTACGAATTGTGACGCTGGGAAAATATGGGGAATTTTAGAATTTTTTAAGATATTTCCGTAGCCTCAAGAAACTAGTGGCACGTTATAATATGTGATCGTTTGATTGATCAAGCGAGGTTGAGATTCAGATGAACATCCTATGGATGAATCTCAGCTTGGATTGCGGTTAGGTAAATTGAGTAACGAGGGGTTTGAGAGAAGTTTCATGTGGAATTCGAAGTCAGAATTTTCTTTTGCCACTGTTTCTCAATGTTCCTCTATCCATAATTGAATTCGTAAAATTGATATCGTTCTGCCGATAGTGCGAAATATACACGCGTCAGAATAAAATTAATAACTGTATTACGTTTTTATTTCAATTATTATTAAAATCAAAGACTATTTTAAGAGCAAAGAGATTTAAATTAGATCGTCAAATGACAATTATTTCCATTTTAAAGTCATACTATCTATGATATAAGATCGTCAAAGAAGTCTAACGCTGCATATTAAAATCAGTGATTACTTTTAGGGTAAAAGAGAATTAGCATGATTTCACGCTAATTCTAGGGGAACTGAAGAACGAATAAACGTTTAATTATTATTTTCGTGGTTTTAAGGTATCACGAACCAATAAGACGAACGTTAAACAGCCAGATTGGTAATTAATGGATATATTATCGAACTAACGAACTCCCTGGCGTGGTGAAAAATGGATAGAGAGAAAGTGGAGAACGGTCCAGAGTGAATTCAAAATCCATTACTAGCCGGCGACAGCTCTGGGAATAGCCGCGGCGTAGCTACTCACGTTCAACTGAATGCGTCTCCCCGTGATATCAGTCTACCCAGTCAAATAAATCATCCGAAAAATGTTAATTTTCACTTGAATCTACTTCACGTATCTGCGACGCGTCGAACCAATCGCTGTCTGATGTGTTTTATTTTTTAACCTGAGATGGTATTTGTGAGTTTCGATTAAGACGAACGCCATACTTTTTTAGAAATTTTCCTGCGTCTTTTTTTTTATTCATACATATTCTGTTCCTATATTTTTCATTACTTGTTATTATTTCCATTTCCATTAGTCTTTCGTGTTTTATCTTATTTAAGATAGTATCGCTTATTTACCATTTTGCTTCGAAATTTTCAGATAAATTTATTTTATAATTTAAATTTAAATCCATTTATGAGTTAACGTTTAATCGCTTTTTTGTTGGATTTAACTAAAGTATTTTTAAAGTATGAAATATTTAGGAAGAATCCCCTGCTGGGGATACCAATCGATACTATGAAATTTATAACTTATTTAATATACGAGATCCCCAAATGGGGATTGTGAAAGCTAATATTATTTTGTTTCTATACGTGTCATTATTATTAATTTTATTATTATTCCGTGATATTTTAATTATACTGTTCCTCTTTGAAACGCTGTTGTAATTAATGTATTCTTTCCTAGATTAATATGCTCATACAATATATTCCATTTTTGTATTAACGTTCCCGTTCCTTTTATTCTTTCCTAAAGCTCAGATTAAAATTATTTCTACGGTGTTAAGGGGTAAAACTAGATATCTTATGACAGTTAATAAAATGTAAAATGTTTGATCCGAAGAAACATTTCAATTGACTTTTTCACATACATACAAATAACAGAAATAAAATGAACGAAAATTAATGAAAATAAATGAAATGAAATGATTTGATATTACAAGACAACTAATAATACATCTTAAGTTCGAAATTATTAAATAATAATAATATATAAATATAGTATAAGAAATGATATAATATATAAATAATATCATTTTAATAATATTAATTTTAATAATAATACAGATGCCAATTTTGACGTTAGATATAAATTATATCAGAACGTATAATACTAAATAAAGTAAATATCACGAAGAGAGCATCATCTTCATTGAAACAAAGGCGTGACGATAGAAATTTCTGTCACGAATCGACTCGGTATACAATCCTCCTATACTTTTGAATACACGAGCTTACTCAAAAGTCGAAGCACCGCCAACGAGGAATAAAAAGAGAAGAAATAAAGGGACATTGAAGAACACTGGATAAATTACCTTGTGTTTGTCGACCGACACTGGTCTCAAGTGGCGGTC